CACAGTTATTTTAAGATAATGCTTAACATGTGAAGATTGTTTTCTATTTCCAATTATTTAAGTCTAAGATTAAGATATAGTAGTTGTAAGACACAAAGAAGAATTATATTTACTAAGAGAAAACGCTAATGGTAAATTAAAGATTATTTAGCTTTCACATTTCTTTACAAATAAGACAGTAGGAGCTATGACAATTGATGGAAAATATTTAGCTATTTATAATGTTGAATCAAGTAAACTTTAATTTTACTAATTGAGATATTATAATTGATAATTTTATTGTGTTATAATATAACAAAAATGATAAATTATTAATTTTTAAGATTATGAAAGAATATTCACATAATTTCTTGATAAATATGTGATCAATTTATTAATCAATTCTTGAATTATATTTGAAAATATCTTGATAAGTTTTTATTATATGTAAGAATATCTATTAAATTCTTTAAAAACACCTGAAGAAAAAGTTATCTCAAATAAAAAAAAGGATTATTAATTGAAAAATAATCATATAAATTAATAATTCAAACTTTATGGTATTGGAAAATATCTGCTTTCAGATAAACCATTATAAAATATGATTAACTAATCATATAAAATGCATTTGAGATTAATAAAAGTACTATTATATATCCTTGATCAATTTCTATTTCAATATCTAAAACTTTAACAAGTATATAATAAGGAATAACCAGTACTTAAGGAATAGTTAGAAGAAAATATAAGAAGCTATTTCGTTTTCTTTATCAAAAATTTGAAGTACCCAATAGAACTAACAATATAGTTATTTTCAATATAATTAATTTCAAGCGTAATTAATAACATCGAATTAGTTATTATAAAAAGAACAGTAATATATATGATAAAATCATTGATTAAAATTGATTATCATGACATCATATTAAATCCTTTAATCTTTAATTTTTGCTTAGAAATTTTGTTGAATTAATGATTAACCTGAAAAACTTCTTAAATAATCACTTTGATAGACTTTATTTTTATAAATTGTTTTAAATTAATTTTTTGAGATTTATTTTTATATTTATTACACTAAAAATGGCAGCTTTCCAATCATCACAAAAAATTTAATTCGAATGGCGAAAAATTAACAAACAAAAAAGAATAACTTTAAAACTGCAAATTAAAAGAGAGTTTTAAATAAATACTTGCTATAATTTATCTTTACGATTGCAGCTAATTTAAAATGTCATCAAAGCTAGCTATATTTTGTTCTTCATATTCTTTTTCTAATACTTTTACATTATTTAAGTATTTGAATTTTGTATTATAAATTAGATTTTAATAATATTATTACTACATGAATAAAAGCTAAAATTAATATAATTAGAATTAAATTATTAAATTCGGAGTAGAAAGTTTGAATTAAGTATTAATAACAGAAAAATTCTCGTAATATTGGTAAATTATAATATATAAAGTTAGAGGGTAGAAAAAAAAATTTTTCTAGACTTTAAGTGAAGCTTATAAAACATACTTTTAATTTTAAACAGATATTAAGGGTTTAAGTATTATTCATCCTTCTGCAGCTTATATATTTATTCCCAAGAATAATCCTAAAGTTAACTTTTCACACGGTCCAAATTTATTATATGGATTATATTAGAATAGTTATCTCAAAATATAAAGTTCAACATCAACAATAATTCTCCAAAATTGAATTATCCTATTGATTATTAAATAATATTTAAAGTTTCATTAAGGATATACATATCAAAATAATACGTAAATTGGATGTTTCAATCTCTCTAAGCTTTGATAATTTTTTTTAAATATAGATAGCCTATTTTGAAGGCTTAAATTGAAATTTTTTACAAACTAAATTTTAATACTCATCTCCTAAAAAATAGATTTTTTACTGATTCCTCTAAAAACTAAAAACTCAAAATCATAAGAAAATAAATTTTAGCTCTCAATTGTTAATCATTTCATTTTATTTAAATATTTTTTGACCCATTATAATGTTATATTTAATTGGATTATTAATGTCGAATATATTATTATGATAGATGAAACAAATATTTCTTTACTAACTTAATAATTTGAGATATTAGAAGCGACACTTATTATATTATAGATTTTGTAACAGTGATTAATTAACTTAAAACTAAAGAAAAATTGTTTGGTTTAAAGGATGAAAGACATTAAAAAAATCTCCTCTTAAATTTAGTATATAATATTAAAAAAATTTCCAAAACATAAACTTTTTTAAAATAATAAATAAAATATTTATATAAAATAAAATGAATTACCTAAATTATCATCATTCTATTTATTTTTATCCCTAATCTTCTCAAAATTTCGATCCACTTTTTAGCAAATTTAGATTTTTTAATCGTAAATGATATCTATAATATCCTTATGTTAAGGTTTAAATGTTCATATTTTTTCAAATGAGATTAAGAAAGAAGATTAGGATTATAAAAGATTTATTGAGAAAACTATAAAATGGCAATTAGAGACAAATAATTGATTAAATTATTATCTAAAGCTTATTAGAGAGACTAATGCTATTAAAATTTATAATAGATTTATTTTAACGATTTTTAGATTATAATGTAGTATAAATTTAATTGTGAAAATAATTAAAGTCACTATTTTTTTTAAATCATCATTTTTTCATTAATCAATTTCATAATAATTACCTCAATATTTATAAGCACTTAATCTTAAATAATTAATTAAACTATTTTTAGAACAATTGAATAAAATTCAATAATTCAAAAATTTTAATCGAAATGATGTTTATTTATAGTTTATTTAAAGTCTTCAAATATCCATCATTGATATATTTATACCTTAAATATAAGTAATTGTTGTAGAAAAATGAATTATAGATATAACAAACTTTTTTATTTCTTAAAACTAGATTTACCAGAAAATAAAAGATTTATTATATTATTTCATTTGCTTGAAGAAGAATTAAGATAAATATTAATTAGATATGAAATATCATAATTTAGCATTTATTCTTTGTTAGCTGATAGCCTTCTCTAATGAATATATCACATATGATACTGGATTCACATCATCATTAAATAATGATGATGGATTTATAGGGAATCCTAATACAAACTACATAAAAGAGTTTACTTTTTCAGGCATATTTGAAAGACCTCCATAAGTGTCAATTATCATGTATAAATTTAACTACGATTATTATTAACCTAATGGTTATGACATTGAAATTACAGAAATATCAAAAACAAGTAGGGATTTAATTAATATTTAGAGTTTAAAGTTTTATTCAGATGTCTTTATTAGAATAGAAGCTCCTTTTAATTGGTATGCTTATGATGACAGAAGAATTTAAGTCATTAATGTTGTAAATTACGAAATCTAACAATCTAGCGAAAGCTTTACTACTTAAATCATTCATCCTCATTTTAATCCAAATTTTTCAAAAGGAATTGTTTATGTAACATCGTTTTGTTACAAAGGCCCTATAGATTTTTCATTAAATGTATCAATTATTATAATTTTAGATTGTTAGTATAAATTTAAAAGATGTAGTTATTGAAATCAAGTCAAATACTTAAAATTTAGTAAAATTAGGTTATTAGATTCTACTTTCAATTGATGATGCTATTGATTTAGATAATCAAATAGTAAAAAATGAAGATTTATACACCAGCCCTACATTTTCATTTCCAAGTGATAGGGATTGGAATATTGGTTTATAAGGATTAAAGTGGGGTCAAACTATCAATATTAGGATTAAGAGAATAATATACTCAAATTACTATACATATGGAAAATGTATAAAAAAATATAAT